ACTGACTGACTATCTTGAATTTGTTGAGTTTGTCAGTATCCCGAAGAAAGGCCGTATTGAACTTTTGTGATATTGTCCGCTCCGTTGTCCAGTACTTCTTGAGTTTCAATTTTATCTTGGCGACCAGCAAGTGATGATCTTATGCTATATCAGCTCCTCTCTTGGTTCTCACGTCCTCCATCGTCCTCCTGAACTTTTTGTTGATGCAGATATGGTCGATTTGGTTTTGCGTGGTGTGATCCGGTGAAGTCCATGTGGCTTTGTGAATGCGCTTATGTGGGAATATAGTGCTGCCTATGACCAGTTTATTGAAGGCACATAGGTTTGCAAATCTCTCACCATTTTCGTTCCTTTCTCCCAGTCCATGTCGTCCCATGATGTCTTCCTATCCGGTGTTGTCCATTCCAACCTTGGCATTTAAATTTCCCATCAGAATGGTCAGGTCCTTTGTTGGGCACTTCTCTACGATTGACTGCAGCCTATTGTAGAATCGATCTTTACCGTCTTCATTGTGGTCGTTGGTAGGCGGGTAGGATTGGATGATTTTCATTGAAATGCCCTCTTTCTTTGTTTTGAAGGAGGCTTTGATGATCCTTGGTCCATGAGATTCTCATCCTATAAGTGCCTTTTGTGCTTGTTTGAACAGCATCAATGCAACTCCTTGTGTATGTGAGGCATTTTCTTCATCATGGCCGGAGTATAGCAGAAGCTCCCCTGAAGCTAGTCGTTGTTGTCCAACTTGTGTCCAATGTGTTTCACTGATCCCAAGTACCTCGAGGTTGTATCTCCTCATTTCTGCAGCAATTTGGAAGGCTCTCACGGTGTCCTACATTGTACAGGCATTCCATGTACCTAAATAAATGGTTGCTCTGGTTGTCAGAAGGGGCTTCGGCCTCGTGACTTCCGAAGGAACTCGGCTTTCATCATGAGGCGTCATAGTTCTTCTCAATGAAGACCTGACTCTCAGGGCAGAGTTTGAAAGGTTTGAATAATTTTTTCTGGTTAGCGTTTTTTAGCGAGTTAGTTTTCTACGGGATGGGGACGCTAACCCCATGCCCAACCGTTCTCCTTTATCCGGGCTTGGGACCGGCAGTAGCCCCCGGAGGGACTCCAGGCGGAGTTTTGTAGTGGTTCTAATTTTTGTGAAACCTGATTCTCACTAATCGGAGTTTTTTTCTTGTCGTTTATCCAGTAATGGCTCTTCAATGCTTTCCCCAAACTGGATTCTATCTACGTTTGTATGTGTATTTTCCTAAGCAATATCTTTTTACTGAATAGATATGTGGTGCGGCCAACTTAATAATCTCAAGAAAATAAAACTGTTTTAGCAAACTTTCACTGACCGAATCGCACCCCTTAAGATAAACACTCAAAATGCTTGTGAGTAGAAGAAAGGATAGGTAGTATCCAGGTTGATACAACAAGATGGCGGAACATGTGCTTAAATATTTTGGAAATCAATTGGAATTTCAGTCCTACAAAAACCCAAGAGTTAGGGTACTATACAGCTAAACACAATGTAAGCTGACTAGATGATTTTCTATAAAATCTATTCATAAAAACTGTTAAAAATGTGTTTTTAAGTTTTGTCATAAACTTGGACGTCAAAATTTCCAGACTTTGTGTTTTCTAAAACAAGTTCTTACATTCAGACTACCCTTCACTAATTCACTTTTGATACGAGGCATGATATCAAACTTTGTTATTCTTTTGCTGCTATACTTTTGTATTACCACGGTTTGTTTATTTATTCTACCCTTCCTCCTTTTCATAATGTTTATGGCCATTCTGTTAGGTAACTGTATGATTATCAAAAATATCACTTAATATTTTGATTGGAGCAATATAAGAATTCAACGCCGTGCAAAATCAAAACTTAAAAGAATTACAGTACAAAATTCAAATCAAACAATCACTAACAAGCGAGCCGGAATTGGTTAAAATCGTACATTTGGCGAGAGAAAAAATATTCACCCGGACAGCATTTGATCATTTTAATAATTATACATTTTTTATCTAACCTAATTCTACTGAATGTCAATAAATGACAGTAGGAATATTCTGTATTTTTCAATGTCAAAATCGGAGTGTTTCAATAGGGAAATCGTTTGTGGTATTAGTATTTGTAAAAATTCTAAACAATTCATATTGATTTTGATTATGAAGCGTCCCGAATGAAAATTATTGGCTTTGACCATGACACAAAAAATTATAGAGATGAGGACTGTATCAGACTACTGCCGTTCGTAAAAGCCACAGAAATGCAAAATATATGTTAAACACTTAAAGTAGCCCAAAGCTATTGAGAAATGAAAATAAGAACACTTTACTAAAGATTGCCTAAATAGTTATATAGTAAATTTCAATTCAGTCCATTTCTTAAGTTGTAATAAAAGCTGGAAAATGAACCAATTAAAGACAATCAGTCATCTAACATCTTAACGTCGGTAAATAAATGATACTTTCATAGCATTAGAAAGCGAACATGAGAAGGATAATTTACTTAATATATTCAGTAACATTCATCCATCCTGTACCAATCAGATCTAAAAGTAACTTGGTAAAAATCCTGACTACTTGTGTCAGAATTTGTTCTGACGACACTATTATAGATGAATTGAGTAATATTCGTATCCTGCTTAGTAGGAATAGATATCTAACGAGATTATTCAAAAACAGGAATTAAATGAGAAAAGAACCGAAAGTAACTTCTGGCTCGAAGAAGACGTTATTCTTAAAATTACTTTTATTAAATAAAACTACCAAAGATATAATTCAAAGGTTAAGATATGCGGTGCAGAAAATATCTACTTCAGCCACGTTGGATGAGGTTTCCTACAATCTCCCGATAAGAAAAATCATCAATAAAAACAGACTGCCTGAATTCACCACACCCGTGAGTATTTACTATCTAACTGTTCCTATGGAGCCAGTTATAAAGGGTGTACAACACGGCAAGTCCGTCATCGCATAGTAGAATACTATTTTAGTTGGGTGAAAAACGGGTAAGTGATTAAGAGTTATATTCTCGCCCAATTGATGAACACAGAACACCAAGTTGATTTGAATAAAGCTTTTAAGGTTATCCAGCATATCCCATAAAATTTACCAAATGGCTTACGATTTCGGCATATTGCTCAAGCTATCGGAATCTCTTCACAAACCTAACCTTTGCATCCAAAAAAGATCTGTACAACTACCCTTGCTACCATCAGTATAGCAGTGAGTTTTAGCTGAACTTTGAACAAATCCCTTCTTTCGAAAATATTCAAGCAATTTCCTAATTTATTTCAGTTTCGTTTTTTGCATATTCTTAACCTCCGTCTCTCGATTGTTAAATAGCTACTATAATGCTGACCTTTTATCAAAATATTTTTTTTATATAGTGCAATATGGGAAGTGCTTGAATATTCGAATAATTGATTTGGTCACTATAATCCTCTTTTTCAAATTACTCAATATTCTATAATCACTGTGACTTAGCGTAGTTATTACTTAACGCAACTAATAGATGAGTGCCATTTCATTGTTGATATATATTGGTGTATAGGCATGATGAAAAACTAATTTAAAATAAATTCCTTCGTCCGGTTCGTTTCTTTTTACTGGATGTCAAAGTGGGAAATTCCACTATAGTGAAAGCGAAATATATTTCTATAATTCACATAATCGCATTAGAATAGAATGTTGATTCCGTTGCACAACAATTAAAATAACCATTAAGAAAACTATATCCTTCCGACAGTTAGTCCATAAAGGATGTTATTCGATATTATTTTAACTTTACGTCACTTAATCCCCTGTCATTTATAAATTAACATATTCCTGATTTCAGTAGTTATAATTTTTCTATATCTTGCTGTTATTTATAAGTACTGCAACACATTTTTAGTTGTTTATTTACTATATCCAGGCTTTTTATTAGGTTTATTTCATGTGATTTTCTTGTCACATGTAACACTTAACAGGTCTATTCTCTCACGTTCAACTTAATTAATTAGACTTAGTTCATACTAAAGCCTCATTCATGTTGTCTCATTGCAAAACGAAGTACGCATTTCATTTTGATAACCACTGATGTTTGACAGGCTAGAGTACAGTTTTCCTTTGTTTACATAATCTTCTATACTCCTTTATTCAAATTAAATGAAGAATAATATCTAATTACAATTAAATCTTCATTAGCGACAATACATGATTGATAAACATTGTGTATTTCTTTATCAAATTATAAGGCTATCAATTACGGTACCATAGTTAAAATGAATCTCGTATCTCACTATTGAGGTTTAGTATAGAACTCAAACAATAAATTTTGTGATAAATATACAATTCCAATTTCTTTCTGAATCAGTATATTTAATTGCAGTTCTTAACATAATCTGACGATGACTGAAACTAGGTTTAGTTGCAATTGGGAATTTTGCATTTTAATTATTCCCTAAGCATTATGTTGAAAAGATGAAGTCGGTTCCTTATTTACCTTAATTAGAAAGTACTTTAGTATAGCTTAATCATCACCTCGATAATACCGCCAATTATCTTTTAGTTCATAGTAGACATAATCCAGATCAAGATCATTCCTAACTAGTGATAATCACCGGTAGTCTAAGATTTTAATTACAACGCTCTTGTTAATGGAGTTCCTATTTTTTATCCACTTGGAATACATCCCATCTGTTAACTGTAATAGATTTGAATATTCCAATTATTATAAATTATTTACTCATAAAACATTCTCTACACACTGCATGCGTATCTAACCTAAGTGAAGAAGCCTATCTCATTAGTAAATTTGCCATTTTCAGGTAGAATTTATGTCATATCAGATGTACCTGACAAGTGTAGCACAGAAATGTTGACTGTGTTGGCCTTTGTAAATTCTAACTTACATGAAAAAATATTTTGATTTTTATTCATGGAAAAAAGACTACATACAGAGTCGCCTATCAAAGCCCATTAAATAAAACTGTTTTACAAAAGGTAAAGAACAAACAAATCCATTTTAGGATACTTATTATTCTCCACCTTGAAAATAATGAAATAGCAACAGTAACAGTATAAACGATAACGCCTAAATGAACAACAAATAACATTAACTAAAGGCATTTATTCAATGAGAACATTTCTGAATTCTAAGTCATCAAAATTCCATTTGATAATCAGTTTTATTTCCTCGAAAAAGTGAAATCCCACAGACATTGATTAAAAAGTAAAGACAGAAGGGACACATATTCACGTATATAATATCAAGACAAATAAACTGAGGTAAAGAAGCTGTAAAGTTTGTAAACAATTATAGAAATACAGTTAATTGGACCTTTAAAAAAATCTACATAGAATTCAGTATGAATAGTCTAAGACGATCTAGTGACTCAGGAAATATAAACATCTAAACTACAAGAAAACAATGAGGAAGATAGACTGATAGAATAAAAAGATGTCATGCAAGTAACACACACAAGAAAGTGAATATATATATATATATATATATATATATATATATATATATATATATATTACTGTTGTCATCACTGTTATCATTATATTCGTGTGTTAACAGTGTGAAGAATATGCTTTTTGATAAGACCAAACGGTAGATGAACAATCAGCACACATACATGTGTAAGACAACCGAAGATTTTCGAACCGAAATTAATAAATAAATCTGAAGAGGAACATCTCATCATTTGCTGGAAAACGGTGTCAAAACGAAGAAACGGAAAGAGACATCGAAATCATTAACAATGTGTCTATGTGTAGTAAAGAAAAGAAAATTTATGGGCACTCTGGTGCGATACATCAACTTTATAATTTTTTTTCTACACACACACACATTGAATAAGTAAACACAGGTTAACATGCAAACACAGCCCATATATACATATATGGTTGTGGCACATTTTTAGCGAATTGTAAAGGCATATAAAGATATAATGCAAAGACTACGTATATGCGTTTGTTGTATTAAAGTAAACTAATTAGCAAAAATGTAAATTTGTAAACTATTAAAACCGCACATTATGCCTTAGAGAAAAAACAAGAAAGAAGGCAAACTGCCAAAGAGTATATATATTGTTTTATTAATAAATGCTAAAAAGTATTGTTTATTTGAAAGGCTAATCAATTATCAATTGATTCACACATACACACAGATAAATAAAGGGGGGACAGAGTAAGACTGAAAAGAGCTGATCATAGAGATAAAGAAATGAGCTCATATGTTTAATTTTGTTCATAGTGAATGGAAGACAGATTTTTTCTGATGTTTATTACAAATTAAAAAAGCTTACAGAATAATACATGCAGTCGACAGATCATGGCGAGGTTAATTGTCATTGTTATTCTGTTCAATCCAAAAAATATGACATGATCTACACAGTGTTTAGTAAACGTACTGGTAGCACATAACAGATAATAATAAGGATGAAAGGGGGGTATTGTTGTAGGCCTGACGAATGATGTAAGTGTACAGTTATTTAATTGAGCTGACAGACATGGAAGATACACAATCTCCACCACTATCAGTCAAGTCTAGACGTTCTTCTAGATTTTGTATACGCCTTTCATGACCTTTAATAATTATCTTCATTTTGCGAATATCTTCCATGAGATGATGAATACCAGTGTGATTTGCATGACAAGCACCGGTTGAAATGCCATTCTAAAGTGAAAAAAAGAGAAAAATGGAGTCGTTTTAAAGAATAATGGAATTAGTACAAAAATATTAGATAATATGATAAATCCCAAAACTTACTAATTAACCTCTGATATTATTTTCTTTTCTAATTTAAAAGAGATAAGACGAATATCACCAATGATATAGCTTATAACCATAGTCAATAAAATACAAAATCAATCTTTTTGGTATCATAGCACTCACATTTATGTATTTCGAACCATAACTGACCTCCGCCTGGAGTCCCTCCGGGGGCTACTGCCGGTCCCAAGCCCGGATGAAGGAGAACGGTTGGGCATGGGGTTAGCGTCCCCATCCCGTAGAAAACTAACTCGCTAAAAAACGCTAACCAGAAAAAATTATTCAAACCTTTCAAACTCTGCCTGAGAGTAAGGTCTTCATTGAGAAGAACTATGACGCCTCATGATGAAAGCCGAGTTCCTTCGGAAGTCACGAGGCCGAAGCCCCTTCTGACAACCAGAGCAACCATTTATTTAGGTACATGGAATGCCTGTACAATGTAGGACACCGTGAGAGCCTTCCAAATTGCTGCAGAAATGAGGAGATACAACCTCGAGGTACTTGGGATCAGTGAAACACATTGGACACAAGTTGGACAACAACGACTAGCTTCAGGGGAGCTTCTGCTATACTCCGGCCATGATGAAGAAAATGCCTCACATACACAAGGAGTTGCATTGATGCTGTTCAAACAAACACAAAAGGCACTTATAGGATGAGAATCTCATGGACCAAGGATCATCAAAGCCTCCTTCAAAACAAAGAAAGAGGGCATTTCAATGAAAATCATCCAATCCTACCCGCCTACCAACGACCACAATGAAGACGGTAAAGATCGATTCTACAATAGGCTGCAGTCAATCGTAGAGAAGTGCCCAGCAAAGGACCTGACCATTCTGATGGGAAATTTAAATGCCAAGGTTGGAATGGACAACACCGGATAGGAAGACATCATGGGACGACATGGACTGGGAGAAAGGAACGAAAATGGTGAGAGATTTGCAAACCTATGTGCCTTCAATAAACTGGTCATAGGCAGCACTATATTCCCACATAAGCGCATTCACAAAACCACATGGACTTCACCGGATCACACCACGCAAAACCAAATCGACCATATCTGCATCAACAAAAAGTTCAGGAGGACGATGGAGGACGTGAGAACCAAGAGAGGAGCTGATATAGCATAAGATCATCACTTGCTGGTCGCCAAGATAAAATTGAAACTCAAGAAGTACTGGACAACGGGGCGGACAATATCACAAAAGTTCAATACGGCCTTTCTTCGGGATACTGACAAACTCAACAAATTCAAGATAGTCAGTCAGTCAGCCACAACATAGGACCAGGCACATTTATGCATCGGTCCAAGTTGCCATACCTCATTAACACAACAAGACGGACACCGGATTCATAAAAGTAGTTAATTCAGAGGTGGTAATAAATAAGAGGAAGATTGCAATAAGGATATAGTACAAGAAGAAAGAATTGGTTCGTAGAAAGAAAGATATGAAGCGATTTTAATCTCTTAGTTTAAGGGAAGACAGAGAGTGTATACACCGACGGTCGAGATTCAAGATAGTCCTCAGCAATAAGTTCCAGGCCTTTCATGATCTACTCAATGGAGAAGGAACTACAATGGAGAGCAACTGGAAGGGGATCAAAGAAGCAATCACTTCAACATGCCAGAGGTTCTGGGCCACAAGAAGCACCATCACAAGGAATGGATCACTGTTGATACACTGGATAAGATTCAAGAAAGGAGGAACAAGAAGGCAGCAAATAATACCAGCCGAACAAGAGCAGAAGAAGACAAGGCACAAGCTGAATACACATTAGGAGTAACAGGTGTGAGTGAGTAAACATAACTGAGTCATTCGTTGCCCATCAGTTCAAAGATCCAGTCAATAATCAGTCAACTAAAATATTTGAAACTTTCGAAATAAGTGAATCTGTTGATTGTTTCAACTACATTGTTATGGAAGTATGTTGTGACCTAAAGTGTCAGTTTGTTCTTAAAAAATAAAATGTGAATCTAAGAACTCAGATCATGGAATCTAGGGTATGAAATTACTGTAAGGTCAACAACTGTTATCGAATGTCTTTTTGTATTAGAATTTTGTAAAAAAAAATACTGACTCTAGTGAAATTTTATTTTGCTGCAAATGATTTTAGAAACCAATTAGTCAATAATAATATAGAGTAAATAAGTAGTATTTCGCAAAATGTGTGACTTTCTAAGATGTTGAATGTAAATTCAAAGTTGTCCAATATTCTTGAAACTCGGAAAACTTTTAGAGGTGATCATTATGTAGACAACGTGGAAGGAAATAAATGATTGGATTAAGAGTTATATTGTGGTGTGTGCTACAGATGTCGATAGATATGTGTTAAAAAATTAGTTGCTTGTATTACTTCATTACGAAAAACGAATACGTTTTATTTTGGAATTTGATTTGCTTTGGCCTACAGTAATCACTATGTACTAACGATAGAAATCATTGTAGTTGGGTTTTTTTTCTTTAAACATTTTTGTAATTTTGTTTTGTTATTTTTGAACTTTATAACTCCTCAACATTCATCTCTTGATTTTTACGTAACTACTATTCTATTGACCATCTATTATAAAATCCTGTTACTTCTCTTTTTCATATATTACGCAACGTAGCAACTTCTTGATTTAATAATTATTTTGAATATTAATAATCCTCTTTCTTCCAATTACTCAATGTTAATCTAAATGTCATTATGTAACTATTACGTAACGTATCCACTCGATGAGTATTATATTATTATTGTAAAACGTATATATATTAGTGTAGAGCCATGATGAAAAACTAATTGAAAAGAAATTTCTTCACTCAACTTGTTCCTTCTTTATTTAACAAATAACAAAATGGGAATTTTCATTATATTTAAACAAAATTTATTGCTAATTCGATAAGGCGGCAAACTGACATACTATTCTTTAACAGTGATATATATATATATATATATATATATATATATATATATATATATATATATATAACACTGAGATGCACAAAAAACGGCAAATTAAAAGCGACAACGATCAATCAGAAAAGATTAAAGTGCATTAGGAAACACAAATTGGGAAAGCTGTACTCATGGTTATCGTTACAAGAAAGATTTAACACTTATTCATAAAACTCAGTAACTTTTAAGCAGAATTACTGTTAATGTTTGTAAAATAACACTATGTTTACTATTCGTAGAATTTTAATGAATTCCCACCTAAAAGAAAATATAAAGAGCAGCAATGACAAATAACACAGCTATAAAACAAGGAATTGGAAGTTAAAAATAGAAAGATTAAAGTTACTTAGTTAAAAGAGTCATTATTTTGTTGTGTAACTACTGAGTGCCCCATAATGTTAACTAAAATGCGTTAGATAAGAGTAGATCTTTGTGAGAATTCAATGATCGAGGCAATAGAGACGTACACCACACCTACAGATGGGTGATTACCCTGCATTGAAAATTAGGGAAGTAGGAATAACACTGAAGTGATCAGATGAAAAAAAATATTGATAAACTTGCTAATTGCTAATCTAAATCGTGATCAAAATATCAGAAAACATACATTACAGGTCGACTGAAACACAGTTAGAGATCGATAAAAATGGTGAAAATCCATTCACTTTTCAACTTTACTAGATTCAAAACCGTTTACTAGGACACTTTTTTCTGTCTACAGACTCTATATTACCATTATATTATTTCCCAAACTTCTATTGACTTTTTAATCTTGTTAAGAAGTGTCGCAGTCTAATCTTAATCTAAGGGGATTAAATTAATGTGCAATACAGGTAATGAACGATTATTACTTGTGTATTAACAGATTATTATAGGGCTATAAATTTTCGACAGCTGAATTTATTAATAGTCAACGTCACATCAGAATTTTATGAGAATGTCCTAATAAAAAACAAAAGTTTATAGAAAAATAGGTTATCAATGTGAAACAGACAAGACTTATAAAAAAGCCATTTAAAAAAATAAATGATGAAGCATACCACTGGTTCAGAAGATGGAGTATCTTTAGGTGGGGTACTCTTAGTTAATCGTTGTCGATTTGCATCTAGATGATCAGATTTGACAGGATTTTCAGGATTTGGTGATTTAGAGCCAGGTTGTCGATTTTGATGCGATGTTACTTTAGTTTGTGGAACTGTCAAATTTGAATCTTGTTCTTCTTTATCTGCTGCTGGAGTGGATGCGATTAACTTCCCAATACGTTTTTTCGGTTTCGATTTTGGAACATAACCCTCCTTTAGAGATATCTACAAAATCAGAATAACATACAAAACATGGGGAAGGATAAAATTGAAATATTGGAACAAGAAAAAAATTGTGTGTAAACTTCTCTGATTGAAGGGAATCAGTACCCTCACATTGTCTTAACTATTAATATTGTTTTATATTTTTTTGGAAGAGGAGCCAATATATCCTAGTCGTAAGGATACGTATATTTTTTTCTACCAGTAACTTATTAAACCCATATCTTAAGAGAAAACAAATCAATTGAATGTAAATGTGATTATACGCAAACGGAGACGCCGAGCAATTCACCACTATGAATGCAATTGGACTTGGATTTTCTGTGTTTTAGAAGCTTTTATAAAAATCTCAAACTGCAAAAGCCCTGTGGTGTGTGCTACTGATATCGACGATTATAAGTAGTATGTTTCGTCAGTCGAGAGTGAAATGCCTGGAAGCAGAAGGCTAAGAAGATCGAAGGAAGAGAACGAGAACAAAGAATTACTGGTGTGGAAGCGGAAGAACAATGAAGTCCAAGACGAATGACTGATACTTGCAAAAGGAACAGTCAAGTTTGAGATATTTTGCAAATTAAGTATTTACTGTATGGTTCTCAAATTTAACTAAGATGTTCCGTAATTTTGTGTCCAAATACATTCGATTGTCCCAACTTATGTTCTTGTTCACTACAGCCCTACATGAAATAGCATATAGCTGGACATATTTAGAGCTCCTTGAAACCAACAGACTAATAAACTACGAAAATCAACCAAAGTCATTCATCTCCCTCATACTAAACTCTACTACGAGCATGATCTTAAGGTAAGGTAGTGTTACAATACAATGGATGAACCAGAACCATTAAAATAAAATAAAATGACTTTGAAAGTATATTTATTTATTTCAAGTTTCGATTAGATGTTATCAATATATGAGAACCTATAGTATGTTTTACAAAGAGAAAAATCATGGTTAGTGAGATATTTAAATTTGATTTTATAATTAAGAATCTTTCACCATTTGATCATATTAAATTCTATGTTTTTTTAGCTAAAAAAAAAAGGCTACAACTTCACTTTTGATCGCTTATAATTTGTCAACCATAATGTGTCCCATTTATTTGATATTTGTATTTTATTATGATTTAATATTGTTTCATAATACTGTAGTATAGTTGTTTTTTTTTCTTCAATTTACTTATGTTTACCTGTTTACATTTATTAACTTATACACAGCTACTGAAGTCTAAAAAAAGCACAACATGAAATGAACTAATCGTTTAGCGATAATCTTACTAATTTTGTTTAGCTTATAATTTGTAAATATTTCTAAATAAATGAAAGTATTTGACAATGTTTCACATACATGATAATAATGTATATTAATTTAAATTTTGTACATATATTTCTCATATCCTATATTGTTTATGATTGACTAACAGAAAAGAATATAATACTAGAACTATTTTAATAAACAAAGAGTTCAATTAATGTCTTCATTGTCTATATCATTTTTATATAGTCTAATGAAGAAAGCAGACTAATTATATTTTATTTTCATACACTAAACAGATTGAATAGAATGACGAGTCCCAAACAGGACGAAACGCGCGTCCTGGATTTCACTACTAGCGACTATACATCTTTGCTTAGTTTTAAAAAAATTTAACGTTAGTTTCTACAAAAATTCACTTAACACTAATCACTATCATTACAAAAACTGAAGAGAAAATGATTGCCAGATGAACGAATTACAACACTATTATTATTATTAAAACTTGAACTCTTCAAACAAATACACAAAAACGATGAATATTAAGATGATGTACAGAAACTAATAAACCATTGTAGAGTCGGAAGAATGTAGGACTTAAAACCGACCTTTAAATTTAGAATAAGATAAATTGGAATAAAAAAAACAAAAGCTGATTTTTGATAAGAGTGATAGGTGAGTGATAGATATATTAAAATAAATCTAATGTAACAGTGCAGCAAGATAAAAAATAAAAAAAGTAAATGAGCTAACTAATGAAAATGACAATTAGGGACAGTTTGAATAAAAAACAATGAATATTACTAAACGATTCTTATTTGGACGACAGTGAAGCCTTAGATAATTATAAAATGGTGTGAACATTAATAAAATAGCACTGTCCATAGTAAAAATAAAACATACTGTTAAACAGACACATGCAGTTGTACTGAATTATGGTTCCAAGAGTAATGATAATAATACAACGCGAAGGATCAATAAGCAAAGACTTATGAAAATTGTTTTCACAACACCAAGCATACATAAATACTAGATTAAACAAAAACTTCAAAACATACATAGTGTGTCCGCATGAACAGAATACACGAATGTGGGAGTGTATAGTAATTATTGGCGAAATAAACATTTATTCACATACGTAGAGTTAATTAAAAAGAATAGCTTATAAACCAGTAGAATTAGAGTTAGAAATTAAAAAAAAAATTGAAAAAATATATTTGCAATCTCCTACTGAATCTAAGTAACTGGCAGTCTGTATATATTACAGATATACGTACTACAAAAGTGTGTACAAATAACAGCTGATTTTTAGCCTTCACGTATATAAGTTAGTTCATTTATGGTGCAGCACGTGAAAACGCAAAATATGTGGACAATTGTCCAGTAGTAAACACACAGTCAGGTCACATGGGTGGGTTTATACAACTTCAAAATAATCATGCATTTGGGGATCTACCGTTACAATATTTAGCCATATATGAAAGGTATTTTACCTAATATAGACTGAAAAAATCAAGTATTGTATACATATGTATGCGTGCACATGCGCATAGAACGAACATATGGTGTGGTGGAAATTTACAATACTACAACCACAGTAGTGATGATAATAAAATGATATCGAGTTTAACTGATTACAACTAGGCTATGTATTAGTATGTATATAACAGCAAATACAAATAATAGGAGATAATAAGACATTATTTAATTTTACATTCATCGATTAAATTTCACACGTACACAGATCGGTACGAAAATCAATAAGATATCAGAAATCGATAGGAAGCGAAAGGCTATTGATAACATGGATTTGCATAGGGAAAATTTGTTGATAGTATTTGAATATTTATGCATCAATACAGGAAGCTTTTATCCGATTTATTAAAATACATAACGTTTATTATCATTAGTAGTATTGTAACTATTATTATTGTTACTATTATTACACCGACCGCCACAATGCAGGTAGTTTAAAACAAGTCATTTTATCCATCAGTAAACAGAACTAACCGTGAAATAGAATAAAGAGAACCTTATTTTAAGACAACGAACCTAAGGTCACCCATGAGGTCACACCACTTATAAATATGCTTAAATTTATAATCAATTGAGACCATCAAGCACACAGTGGATTATCTTTTTTTGTCACACAACCTTTGGAAATTATATCATCATTGAGCAATAGAAAACCAGCTTTGTTTCAAGAATATTGAAACTTAACACAAAAACAAAGCTGATTTAATTAGCAAAAATAATAAGTGCTTTTGCGAAGGTATTTTGTTAAGTATAGAGTTTAACTGAAGTGCTTAACTAATTTTTTCCAGTTTTCGCAACCAGTACTCCTACTTCGATAAATTTAAAACCTGAATAACAGTCAATTCACAAGAAAATTGTTAAGATTAGCATAACATCACATTTTAAAGGTGTTAGAAAAATACACATTTACTAAGTTCCATGTTGCATACGACTGACTAAATTAATTTTAAAGTGAGATTATCTGAAGAAAACTATTAAAAGTAAAGCAATATGATATGGCTTGAAGCAATTCGATAGCATATTGTTCGTCATATGGATTAAATTTTAAGAATTGAAGCCTTAAAGTACTCTGTAGTAACATTCAGCCACTGAAATTAAACAATTTTTATATTGTTAATCTTTATTTGATTTCCTACCTAGGTTAACCACCATCAGTGTCATGAGTGGCCACCTGTCCTTATACTCGATGTGATTAACTCAAACAAACGATTAGAAGGTTAATTAGTTAAGGTCTAGTGTGCCATACATACATATGTTGACAGGCGAAATTTAACGCCATTCATACACAGTGTAAAATAGGACAGGGTTATTGACCGGCCACTAAAATAAGTTCACTATGTGATTTGGGACCACAGTCCAACAAAAATAGATCTTCCAAACTATATTGGTAGCACAATTGTGGTATACACTATTGAAAAAGGTAATAAATAACTCACTAAAATAGGATCTGCATCTTTACCGGACATCCATTCATCAGCTGTCAATGAAGGCATATCACCGATTGTATCTGGATAAAGGTCATCTTGGAACAGTTCTGATTTCCGAGGTACAGTGAACGGAATAACTTCACATAAACCTTTCGCATGTAATTTATAAAATCTAGCAATTTCATTTTGATTAACATCTAATCCTCGTTTTGGCATCCAACCCATTCCTCGTTGTGGATCAGAACTAGTAAGCATATTGATATAATGTACATATGGTTGTTCATCGGTAATTTCGAAATATCTGATTGTACTATCACCCTGTATTTACAAATGGAAAACAAGAAAAGTGATTTAAAAATCGATGATTAAAAACCATAATTAATAGTTGGAAAAAACTAAATCCAAATATGAGCAGTCTAGATAATTTAATGAAAGATTGTTCGTGAAAATTGTAAATCATATCAACGCATCTGTAAAATACAAATATCCCCCTTATCAATCAAAATAATATTATGGTATTTAAAAATCTGTGCAGGATATCCTAAATATCATTGTGCCTAACTAATGTAAAAACCAACAATTAATTAGATTTCATTGAAATCTTGAACCGATCCAAGTTAGATGACTATCGAAAACGTGGAGGCAATGGACAGACATTCCAACAGAGCCCATCCCCGACGAATGGTCGCAATTTTGATTCTCGCGTGCGGAGTCGAGCATTTGCACTGCTGAAATCCCCATACTAGGATGAAATGGTCTTACAGTGCTTCAAGATTTTTAATGGTGATTTAACTTAAGTCGATTCATGATTTCAATGAAATTCAACAATCTCCACAAACCTATACTTACATTTACTTAGGCTCATAAAAGTTTATTTAATTTCTCTCTACTTTGTAATAGCATGGTGAAGTGTACATAATGTTTTGCTGTTCGGCTAAACGGCTCCGTAAGAACTCGGAAGGATAGGGACACACGTCGTTGCCTTTTCGTCGTTTCTGCCTACGCTCCCACTGACTGCAGCTCAGATAAAATGGAAGATGAATTTTACAGAAAGCTTTCTGAACTTCTTCAGAAAGCTAAACGCTCAGACATAGTACTCGTAGCAGGTGACTTTAATGCTCAGATAGGTAGTTTAAACCAAACAGAAAGGCATTTAGGTGGGATATTTTAGCATTCCTGCACAGCGAACAATAATGGTGATCGTCTGCTGCAACTGTGCTCAGACAATCGCTTATTTTTAGCAAACACAAATTTTAAGCATAAGGAGAGACATCGTCTAACATGGCGACACCCTACACCAAACCAACGATGGACTCAAATAGACCATATTGCCATCAGTCATCGTTGGAGAGGGTCGGTAGAAGATTCTCGTCCCATCAGGTTCCGAACATCACGAAGAGCGACAACAAATCAGATCTAGGTTAAGAAAAAGTCTAAGAAACGACCGTGATCAGTGGTAGGCAACGAAAGCAAAAGAGATGAAAAAGGCGGCTATTATAGGGAACACAAGACAGCTTTACAGACTAATAAAAGAAACTAGAATTAATAAGTCAAGTGTAAGTGAGATTATTTCGCAAAAACACGATACTCTCATCTGCTCTCAGTCCAGACGTTTAGAACGATGAGCGGAACATTTTAGGGAACAGTTCATTCGGCCTTCAGCTACTCTACAACTACCCTCCATTCCCAGATGGTGTGAATGGAACATCGACAATGGTGGTCTTTTTGGACTTGAAAGCAGCATTTGACTCCGTAGATCGTGAGGTTCTGTGGCAGTGTCTATCATTGAATGGCGTAACTCAGAAGTACATAAAACTTGTAAAGGCTCTTTACTCGAACACTACTCGTCGAGTCAGAGCTTATGGCGAACTGTCACCTGATTTTGCAAACTCAAGTGGTGTCCGTCAAGGCTATCCACTTTCCCCATTTCTGTTTAACTTCATCATAGATCTACTGATGGAAATAACTTTCTCGTCGACTGAGTTCTCGGGTATTGATCTCCATCCAGGAGGTCCACTTATCGACTTAGAATACGCACATGATATAGTCCTATTTGGTGAAGACGCTGACAAAATGCAGAGTCTTTTGGTAGCACTAAGCAACAATGCCAGAATGTTTGGAATGCGCTTCTACCCCTCTAAATGCAAGTTGTTGCTTCAGGACTGGTCTGCGTCAACACCTGAACTAAGGATAGGGAGTGAAGTAGTCGAACGCGTTGACAACTTCACTTATATTGGAAGTCTGATCGGCCCTAATGGGCTGGTGTCTGACGAAATCTCAGCACGAATTCGAAAAGCTTGTTTGACTTTCGTCAACTCACGTCACCTATAGCGAAGGCGAGATATCTGTCTATCAATAAAAGGACGAGTATACTGCGCGGTAGTTTGTTCCGTTCTACTTTACCGCTGCGAAACATAGCCATTAAGAGTAGAAGATACTCGTAAATTACAAGTATCTGACCACAGATGCCTTATAAATATTGCTGGCGTCTGCTGGGATCACCGGGTAAGTAATAGTGAGGTTAGACGCAGGGTATTAGGAAATGATGGTAAATCAGTTGATGAGGTTATGAATCTTCATCGACTGAGATGGTTAGGCCACGTGTTACGTATGTCTGAACACCGATTACCACGACGTGCAATGCTAACCGGTGTTAGACATGGTTGGAAGAGAATTAGGGGCGGCCAAACCAAAACGTGGCGTCAGTGCTTGAAGTCACTAACTTCTAGTCTGAGCCATGTTGGTAGATGCAGACTACTTGGTTGGGGTCTGTGTGACTTTCGTAACCAATGGTTGGAGACTCTGGGTGACATAGCTCAGAATCGATCACAATGGCGTAGGTGTATACACTCTCTGTCTTCCCTTAAGCTAAGAGATTAAAATCGCTTTATATCTTTATTTATACGAACCAATTCTTTCTTCTTGTACTATATCTCTATATGCAATCTTTATTTCATATATTACCACCTTTGACATAACCACTGCTATGAATCCGGTGTTCATCTTGTTGTGCTGACGCGGTATGGCAACCTGGACCGATGCACATATGTGCCTGGTCCTACGTTGTAGCTGACTGACTGACTGAACTTCACTTTATAGACGTTTCTGAGAAACTTCCATTCAACACTGATTGGATAAAATGTTTTGCAGCGTTTTCAGCGCCCCACTGGAGGACTTTTTGAGGAAAACTTCGGATAACACCAACAATTTCACTTACCACTAAACACCAAATACGACTTAAACGTATGACAGGAATAAAATTTAAAACATTTCTGTGAGGAAAACATAATGTGACAATGGGATCTGTGGAGAAATATCAAATGAATAAACTGTGATGTAAACTAATGTTTCCTCTACATAGACTAATATAAAATACAGCATCATATTGATGTATTAGTTATTGAACAATGACAAACAATAGCATCGACATTTATCCACTTCGTTAGGTAGTTAGATTTAGATGTGTAGCTATAAAAGGACAAACTCAACAATCCTAATTATTGCTAAGGGAATGATCAAAACAGTTGAGTTAATTATTTTTGGTGACAGGCATGACATATTTATAACCGATATTTGGGAGAGTACAAAGTAAAAAAATGTCCTTTGATTCAAATTTAAGATCAAATATAAAACTATATATTACAAAGATCATCTTTTTACATCAATGTTATAATCCTAGAGATATGGTTAAAAAACACACTAGATTAAATAAACTTGTTTAATGCGAGAAGGTTCATTAATAGTAACTATTAAAACTCCATTCATGGATATCAGACAGAGTAGTCAAAACTTACATTAGCAGAGATTGAATTAAAACGTGAAACTAACTGGAATGATAAATATAATGATAATAATAATGGGAAATAAAATATAAGAAATATGCTTCGAAAGAACAATTTTTATCGACCTAACCTACATTATGTGTGATGGATCTTATTGCTTAAAAACTGGAAGAAATTAGATGACTTAAAGAAGTTAGATCTTGATAATTATGACATTATGTCTTGTATTTGGTCTGTCTTAGATGAGGATAAAATTAGAGGATAATAGAAAATTATTATGGTATTATATTTTATCTTGTATTGTAGTTAGACAACCACTTGAATCTAGAAATCACAGGAGTGGGTGAGCGCTCAAATATACAATCCAGGAAGAACAGCACAACTTTTCACAAACCGAATATACTTATATTTTTTTCATAGTGCATTTCGCAGTGAAAGGTAATTTATGTGGGTTTGGAACGATGAATTTCATAGACCTGGCCTTATGATGCCAGTCATTTATTAAGGGCTTAGCTTTGAACCAAACAATATTTATAAAAACTAATGAAACTATCTAAGTGACAGAAACAAAGGACATAAAGTGAAGTCTGAATCTGTGACGCACCGGTCTAAAGTCGAGTGTGCTAATGGGTAAGTTACTGCTCTAAAACAGACCATATCAAAGATTTTCATATAGAAACTTTGCTTTGTGATAGCGAATAATCGAGAAAAGAAAATCCAAACCTTATATATATATATATATATATATATATATATATATATAAAGTGCAATCGGTTATTGATTTAAGCATAAATTCTTATTTGGAAATAAAACACGTTTAAATGATACTAAAAACTGATCAATTTAAGACTATTATTGTTAGGTGAACAGATGTTTATTTTTGTACAGCCTGTCTAATCAGAAAATCAACCAACGATAAGGAATACATACGAATAAACGTTTACACATAAAGCCATTGATGTTTACAGTAATTCTAATTTTGTACATTTGTTGTTACAGACATGGTAAATTATACGAAAAATGAAGCATCGAATATTGTTTTCGCATTTCGACTACTAACATATTACAGTCATTTATTAACCATATATGATGCATTATATGTTATTAATTCAGTTTAATAATAGGTAACAATACAATACACCTCATTTAGCAAGTACAAATTTGTATATTCTGGTTTTAGGCATACGTTTATACACGAGGACTAGTGAAAGTATCTGGTCGGCAAAACAGAGGTAGACGTGACTTGATTATTTTTCACTACAAAGCAAAATATGCGTATCTACCAACAATCGTACGTAAAATTCCTATATACACTTTAAACAAAGCACATATTTACTGACCATGATTACTATCGACAAGGCTCAATAGTCACTCCCTGTTTAACTTGTGGAAAAAATAGTAGGCATGTGACCAAATGTTAAAAAGTGAGTGGGTAAAAATCTAGCACAAAATCATAGGTATTAATAAGTAATATAATTCAAAAAATTACATGTTTTAACAGCGATTAATGTTTCCGTTCCGAAATATGAATAAATAGTCGAACGATATAGACATTGGTTATGCAAAATCATATTAGTGTTTAAACGATTAAATAACTCCATGATACTAGCTAGCTAGCTTTAGGTAGCAAATTTTCTGTAAGTGTTAGCAATAATACTAATTCACTGGCTAAATCTGAGTGGTATATATATATATATATATATATATATATATATATATATATATATATAGTACATCTCCTACTGTACGAAGTAATCACACGAAATAAGTTAGAAACAAATTTTATATTAGGTCTAAACAAGTAACATCACTAATAATTAGCGCTGTATAGTAGGCGAACAAAATAGATAAACAATCCACGAATTAGATTATTTTATTCTTGATTTACTACTGGGGAATGTGAATAGAAAGAAAAAATACCGAATAATTTACCAAATATGGGCGTAAAAATCAAATTATGGAGAAGAAAGAAAGAAAAACGTTAAACCTCTTAACAAAAAAGTTAAGTGAAAAGAAATACACAGCAACGTTGAAATTTATGATTATTTTCAACCATAAAATATATGCGATAACAAAATTGTAAATATTCCATAAATAAATAATGATTTTTTAGCTGACTCATAAGAATACAACAGCAGTATGGATTCTTGTATGCCGATTTTGTTTTGGTACACATGAATTTACAATTTAAAGAAAAAACAAAGGAAACAGTTATTATAAAAGGGGGCATTCACATAATTTAATAAATAAAAAAACAAGCAGCATTAACAGTGCACTGATATAATTTGGCCTCATGATAGTGGTTGCAGTTGAATAAATAATGCTTTCTAACCTTATTGATGTAGTTCATTAGTCAGTCACTTAGTTATTATCAAAGTAATGACAAACGTAGATCTGCGTTCGTTGCCATACAATATTAGCACAAAATGAATAATACAAGATATACTGCAAAACAGATTAGAATAATGTAGCAGTGAATTTGGCATTAATTCAGTTGAGAAAATGTTCCAGATATACGGTTTCTACAATTGATCATTTGAGTAAAAAATAAACTGAACAACACAGCAAATATTTATTTCAGTTAATCAGTCAGACCAAATATGGTCAAAATGGATGTAAGGTAAAAATAAGACATAATAACTAGTTCCTTAAACTAATTAACAATTCATTAACTCAATGTTATTAATTACACTAATTAATTAGACGTTGTCGTAAAAATTCTATTAATATCTGTAAAAACTTTAAAATATCACGGTAAATACTAGCAATATCATACAAACCCTAGTCAGTGGTACAGCGAGATAACAGTGAGATCGCGAGTTTCGTTTAGTTAGTCAAAATTTTAGTATATGATACTTGAAAATCAGTGAAAGAAGTATAAGTCTACTACTCTCAGAATGGGTATACGGTAATCTTGACTTTCGATGACAACCAGCTAGAAAAGGATTAAGTTCAAAACAGTCGACAGTCAACAATATGTTGAACATCGTAACTAGTGCAGCTAGATTTTAAGTCGGAAATATCCTTAAGGCAGGTAAGATGACCTACTGGAAAGTGTATGTAAGTAACTGTTATTTTTGTAATTTAAGAAGCAGAAATGTTAAGAAGTTAATTTTTATTTTATTTCATCTTACAAAACGATCAGACGTTACCTCAAAAACCCTGAAAATAACTCTTAAACCAAACATCCATATTGAACAATAAAAAAAATCAAGTCCACATTATTATATTTTGAAAAGGATGAAAATGTATGATTGTACCATTATTATCAACCTGCACCTTCAAGTAAATGATTTCCGTGAGATATCGTATGACGAAAACCATTGAAATACATCTAATTAAGCATAACATATATCGCGTATAATAATTAAAACTGATGAACAATAACAATCTATTTACAACCGTTATGTGCCACAAACATTAGGCGAAATTTCCATAACAAACGAGTTCTAATGAAAGAACTCAATGAAGTTTGACCATGTATAGAATTAGTTAGTTTTCAACCAATAAGCTGTAGATTCAAACTCTGCTATATATCTATTTCGATTTGAGTAGCCTGGATGTATCAATAGCCTACAATATTTAAAGTATGACTGATAACAGTATAGAATGATATATATGTATTCCAGAACCATTAATCAAGCAATTGTATTGAAAACAGTGACGAGAGGATAAATTTATTAGAAATGTCTTACAAAACAATAACAAATCTGTCAGATTTAAGTCCTATCAAAATCATGTGCAAGATCTTTTTTGTAATCATCTGAACGATTTAACACACTTTCATTTTATTAGAAGTAGAAGAAAAACAAGTAAAACGGGTCTTGATAATAAACTTTTAAGTAATATGTGTACACATACAAGTAGCATTCATGTGGCTGAAAAAAACATGTGACTGGAACAGAAAGTTTAAGGCGGAAGATAAATGTGATGTAAAACTAGATATTCTCTATCTCCTTTGATGATAAACACGCACAGAGACAAAGACAACGACCAGTCCATTAGAAAGTTATCAGTAAATGAATTAAATGTTTTCCTTTACATGTAAGTTTCCAAGAGGAAGAAAGCTGAGAAGACAATGAAAAGTAACCAATATTCGATTCTTATTGGTTACTTTTCGTTTTCCACATGATTATGCAGAAGAGGTATTAGCGAAGTAACTTATGAACATAAAAGCAAAGATTAATGAACATGAGTAACTTGTGTTCACTCTTGCCATTTCACTTTTTATAAAAGGACTGAGCACGTGATTATAAGGTATCATATTATTGATATAGTTTAGAATTGATTTAACAAACTAAACAATCTCACTCTTAGGTTGCATAGAATGTTTAAAGCGAACGATGTTACAAATGACACTGAAAAAGTGTTTATTACAAAGTAAACAAAAGTTGCGAGCAAAAACAAAGAATGGAAGTAATTATCTGAACAAATCTTTTCTACATTACAGCTTGGGAATAAGTTATTACAAAAATCATAATTCGAACCAGATGATGGAGAAATGCAATCCATGGTGCCACAGTTTAGGAACAGACACGTATTCCTTAAAAGGATACAATATTCAGATCTTTTAAAGATTTCAAGTGATTGTACAAGCGGAGATGATGAAAATTTAAAAATTAAAAAAAAAATTAGAAGCGGTTAAATAGTTATAAGATTACCACTAAGTAATCATATCAGATATGATATGAAACAAGAGTATCACTTACTTTTCCACAAAGATATACCAAATTGGTATCTGAATCATAGAAAGGAAATATTACACCATTACTTGTATCCAGTTCTTGAATGTGTAAAGGTTCGCTAAAGTCGTCCTAAAAGTACAATTTAAGTGATTAATGAAATTTATGCAAGTGAATATATTAAGTCATTCAATGTATTAAGTAGAACTTATGGTAACTATCCAGTGTGATGCGATTCCACTAAAACACACAAATTTCTGGTAGACTTTTCACAACTTCGTTACAATCGTATGTGGATGGGAAATACTATAGAAAAAAGTGGAAACTAAACCACAACAAAAAGCAATGACGCTAGGAGAAGCCCATGACTAAACTATACTGCTTACGGATAAGGCTCGCCGTACAGGCCATAGTTCTGTCGATTTTCGAGGGAGTTAACAAATATTACGCATTTGAATCTGTTTAGTTTTCTCCGATTGTTAAATAGCCAAGATTCCAGAAATACAAAAAGACCAAGTTTAATTATAATTAACGGAAGATATATTGCATCAAATGAGTTGTGTGGTGCATATATATTTGGCGCACTCTTGTACCAATATGTATGTGTTCAAATAAATAAATAAAATAAAATGAGTTAGCGCATGTCACTGCCAGAAATCCTTATTTTTATCATTACAAATGTAGTCATAGCAATGTACAGTCATTAGCCTTTGAATCCCTAGATATTTAAAATATAAGCCATGAATCTTTTCTCTTTTCAGAATGGGATTATACAATTGCACGATCCTTTGAACAATAATGATGAAAACTGTATAAAATACAAAGGATTTACCTATATGATTTTTAAAAATAATCATGTCACTGAGTATAGACGGAAAGTGAACTATGTTACACTACATAGCCAAACGGATATACAAAACTAAAAATATACAAAAGTCAATTTTTTCTTAGCATTAGAAACACTAAGCACTAATTACGGAGTAGCTGTAAATTTATGTCATCATTTACTACGCTGGATAACCCAAGTGAAGAAAGTTTCAGGATTCCTGAGATTAAGTTTGATACTATTCAATAAGATTAACTTATATTCACAAAAACGGAAATCTTAATTGACGAAGTTAATGAGAAAGCTGACAATGTGTTACATGTTATATTTTATCTTGTTCTGGAAAACTTAAATTATTTTAAAGCTGATTACGTAATTGACCATTTTCTCTAAGGTTGGTTTTATAGGTATTGTACAGTTCCGAACAGATCTAAGGAATGTATTCATTGAAATCGCATTAATTTTTCAAGAAAGAAGCATTTTACCATCATAACAAGTTATTCTGTCAAGCAAAAAAGCAAGGTATCAATAAAACAATGCATAACATACTTTATTCCATAAAGCAAATTGGCGTTCGCTCATTGGTGAAAAACCAGTAGTAAAAATTCGATCGTCTTTAATGTAAATAGCTTCTTGTGGTTTGGTGCCTTGATGACAAATACCTTCCTATAAAATAAATTTTGCATACATCGAGACAAATTAGTTATTAATCAGCACAAAAGCAAAATTATCAGCTACAAAGCAAGAAGTGCATGGCAATCATATGCACTATAAACCCATGCTATAATATCAATTAGAACATATTTCATTCTAAAACAATTCTGTGTAAGCATTTTAACAAACAAACAAAAGATGTTGATGAGTTATTTCGTAGAGATTAATTATATTCAAAAAATACTGTTGTTTACTATGAATTGTCATAACTTGTGAGGAGTTACAATACTTCTAAAACAACTGACTAGAAGTAGGTGGTTTTTTTTGATGAAACGGTGAGTTCTACCCATGTTTCATATAAGCGTCCGACCCAGAAAACAATAGACCAACGATATAGTGTTCATGGTTATCGATTATTAAGGCAGATTTATATGATCCTTGTTTCTTCAGAACCCTAGCGCTTAAGTCTATCATTGATCTGGAATCATGATTTGTTACCCTAATTTACTTTCCAGATAAATAAAACCGTCTTCAGGCCCAAAACACCACCCCCATGTGTAAACAGAGGACATAATTTCCTGGAAACGAATAAAAAACATTCACAAGTATATGAGGTAAAGTGGATTATTTCCACCGTCAGTTACGCCATGAGTTTTTAGGCCTTAAACTTTACTAGATAAAGACGATTGTTGGCTTACTGCACTTAATCATTATTACCGTAAAATGACCAAACGCATTTCGTTCCAACAACTTTTAGTAAAATTAAAGTTTGGCTATTTTTCAACCTGATCTGATCTCTGCCAATGCAGTTTTCAATGGCTTTTCTTATTGGCTGATAAACCTGGTTGTTCTCGATGTTTATTGATTGGTGCTTCAGTGGAGTAACAGAGTTTCAAAGACTCTCTTTGGGTTTTCACCGTAAAATATTACAACATTTTCGCAGTTGAACTCATGTTCATATGCACGGATACAAGCGAAGTTATGTTGTGGAGTTTAATGGCTAATAGGTATTTGTGTAAACGTAGACATACATGGGGGTCACTTTGTCCTGTATAGTATTTGTCGCGGTTGCTGTAATTTATTGTCTATACGGTCTCTGCCTTGTTTTCTATTGTTGTTGTGTTCTTTGCTTCGCATAATATTGACGATAACAGTATTTTGGCTTGTGGGCTATGCCTGTTCCTAATGGCTCTAATGTTTGTGATCTCGGAGATGTTTTCCATATAGAGTTATTCCTTTAACAACTTTTGCTAATGATTTCGTACTAAATCGTAGATTCGATAAACATTTCTTGACTAATTTTATTACTAGCTATTTTCCGAGGATATATCCATTAAGTATTTCCTTCCATTTCTGTGTACAATGGCGATACTGCAATATGTCTTCACACTTTAGAATAAGTTTTGTAAAGAGTTTACTCTGTCAGTTGTCTGGGTTGTTGCTGCTGTAATCAGGTATTTAATATACTTAGCATATTAAAATATTTAACATAATTGTATATATTTGACGGATGTTGTCTTGACGGCTTTCATATTAAGTACTATTCGCTAATCCTTGGACTGATAGTTGGAAAGCAGACAGACGGTTAGTTTGTGACATGACTCAGAGGAAGAACAGTATTGCGTTAACATATGCTGTTCATTTATTAACTCTTTGAATCGATATGATGAATTAAAACATTGTTAAGTATGGCTGAGAATAACAGTCAGTGTTAGCACGGATTGGATTTTTATCGAACGTCTGTCTTATGACCAGCAAGAAGTATCATAAAGATGGAAGAAATTCAGAGTTCACGCCCTCTTATTTAACTGTCTTCTATTAATCTCTATCAATTTTGGTCGTTTTATGATTTCATTTTTGACCCATCTACAATATTATTTTAATTTGTATCACTGTGTCTTTCTATGATCTCTTGAATAGAAATAATTTCATATTTCATGTACCAACAAAAGTATTAGGAAAACAAATTACGTTAAATAAAGCTGACTGAGTCATTGAAATAAACAAGATATAGCGAATACAATAAAAAGAAACATACAACAATAACTTTTCCATCACGTGGGTTAACCACTCTTGTACGCCGATCTTTACAAGTTGTAACCAAACGAGAACCATTATAATTGAAACAAGCAGATAAAACAATATCTGGGAATTTCATTTCAACCAATGGCTCTTCTGTAGAAACATTCCATATATACACCTTATTATCAGCACCTAATTAATTTAAACACAAACAAGGATATTAAAAATTATAATACGGAATAGTAATCAAATCAATATTATTTCAGCGGTGAATATGAACAGTAGAAAGGAACCAGGACAACATAACGCCACAAATAGACCATCAAAGAAATACATCAAATACCAAATTGTAAACGCGTTATAGCTTTTGCTAAGGACAATAAGAAGTTATTTTAGCAGAAAAATCATTCACTTGCAAATTCGCAAAAATAAAATTAGAAAATTAAACTAGATTTTAGTTTGTTGCCTACAAGAAAAAGATAAAGCCGACAAAATTATAAATTTCCTTTGAGCAAGCAAGGTATACTGACACTTCAAATTATGTGGACAATTTAAAGCTTTAATTAGATAATAAGAGGACAAAATAAAGCAGAGGGTTTCACACAAATAAGAACAGACGAAAAGATATATAGCCATGAAACACGTTAGCGATTCTTAAACATAATTTAATAAATATTCATTTATGTACCACACATAACTCTATCACCTTGTGCTTCATTAAAAATCTTGGGATGAGAGAAGGTGAACCAGCTTTTCAGATAAGTGAAACGATTATCCAGTTATTCAACAAACATAAGCCAATAAAGATAATTTTGGAATTAATCGGCTATTTATGATAATCTAAGAAAACTATCTTTATAAAATACTTAGCATTGCTGTGTGTGTGAAACATGCGCTATGATAGGTTGCATCGACAACTGAACTAATGATAGGGAGTGAAATAGTTGAGTGTGTCGACCACTTCACTTATCTTGGAAGTCTCATCAGCCCTTGTGGTCTGGTGTGCGACGAAATCTCAGCACGGATACAGAAAGCTTGACTAACTTTTACCAACTTGCGTCATTTATGGCGTAGGAGAGATATCCGTCTACCGAACAAAGGACGTGTTTACTGCGCAGCAGTTCGTTTCGTCCTAATTTATGACAGTGAAACATCGCCAGTAAGAGTAGAGGATATTCACAGGTTACTAGTATTCGACCATCGATGTCTTCGAAACATTGCTCGTCTATCCTGGGACCATCGGGTAAGTAACGTAGTTGTTAAGAAACGGGTACTAGGTTGTGAAACTTCATCAGTTGAGATGGCTGGGACACGTGTTACGTATGCCCAACCACTGACTACCTCGACGTGTGATGTTTTACGGTGTAGGAGTAGGTTGGAAGAAGGCTAGGGGCGGCCAGACCAAAGCATGGCACAAATCCATGAAGTCACTGACAAGTGGACTGAGCCATGTTGTTACGTGTAGACCACCTGGTTGGGAACCGCGAGATGATAGCAATCGATGGTTAGATCAACTTGTATTTTACGGTAAGATGACTGAAATAAGTTGAGGTGTGTCAGTCTGTCAGACCTTAAATGACATAACTCAAAATCGTTTGCAATGACGCAGGTGCATCCATTCTTTGTGTTCTCCCAAATTCTAATCTTCTGAATTCTTTGTCTCCTTTTTTTCTCTTTCCAAATATTTTCACTGAATTATGTTCTTTGAATAACATCTTCAAACCCTAATCTTTCCGATTACTTTTTATACTTTTACTACCTCTATCACTATGGTATTTGAATCGACAATTGTATCTGTGTGGTAATGTGGTTTGGAAACTCGAACTGATTTACGTACGTATGAGGTTCTACGTTGTTGACTGACTGACTGAAAGGAGTAGGTTGAAAAAACACTATCGAAGAGGTCGGAGGACGACGTGATATAAATCTATGAAACTATTGACTACTGATCGGAGCTGTGTCGATAAACGCAGACCACCTAGTTGGGACCCGTGAAATTAATGCGATTAGTGGTTGAGGACGTTGAGTGATATGGATCAGGATTGGTCAAACTGGTACAAATACATTCAATCTTATCTTTAAATCCTGAGTTCCTTCTCTAAATATATCCTGTGTTTAATCATTTTCACTATCACTAACTTTCCTACTACTATGGTATTTATCTTAACAATGTAAGTTCGCTGTATTGACGTGACCACCTAAGCTAACGCACATGTCCTACGCTCTGCGTTGATTATGGCTGACTGATAGACATTCAAAAATAATGTCACGTATATCATGAATAATTTGACGTAAAAATCACTACAAAATGTTTTCTAACACGAATTCCAGAAATATGATACTTCAACTCATTTGTCGAAACCAATTTTATTTACTTAGCTTTGAGCTACATGCTTTATGTAAGAGTTATTGTTACTGTTCAACTGGCCAAAATAAAGTAGGTGAGTCCGGATACAATACATCAACTCAGTGATTGGAATTTAAATTATTTAACAACTAACCCATAGCTTCTAACAACAACATTTCATTTACACTAATCATATTCTATCGATATAATTGATAATAGAGAAACATGTATATAACATAGCTAATTTCTCACTTACTTGACAGAAGAAAACAAATGGATAACACAAGTGAAAAATGACAACAACAACAACAACACATTTGACAATAACTAGAATTCTGTAACTATGATATCAGATAAAATATATATCAGACATGAGATGAAAATCGATGCTGTGAACACATATAATCAAAACAAGCTGTTGATTCATACAAATACAATAACTTCATTTGAAATTGACGCTGGATATAAGAACCAATGAAACAATAACTCATTTATTTTGAATTTCTAGACAGTAAAGGAGATTTCAACTATAGTGTAAAAGTTAACCGATTGAATTTCAAAGTTTACATATCATACAACTATGCTATCTAATATATTATGACATTAAAATATACAGTAAAAATTTATGGGTATCAATGCCAAGGTTGGAATTAATAGTTTCAAATAAATTAAGTAAAAATATATTTATTACTTACAGTAAAAATTATTTATATTACCAAAATAAAAACCACAAATTTACTGAACGACCTGATAAATCAACCTAGGTAAACATCTAAATATCTATTAGTAAATACACGCTCAACCAAGTTGTTCATTCAATATTTTTTACTACCACTGATACTAGTAATTTGATATTCATCATGATAATTTCGTCTTGTTGCAATGTGGTATGGAAACTTAGACTAATGAACATTTGTGTACAGTTGAATGTGAGTTCTCACTGACCGACTGTTTTGAGTATGTACGATGTGTAGTAATATTATTGCAAATTTGTAGACACTATGTCGTATTCTGAATTAAAATGAAATGAACAAGTGATAGTAGATAAATCAAAGAGATGTAATACAAATATTACACAACAGACAAATCAACACTATTAATGCTATGACAGAAACAATAAGATACGCATTGAGTATGAAGAGAATGCTAGTATTTGAGAGAGCTACCTTCATTTAAACAAATCTTATTATTACAAAGTATTTTGCTTGTTCAATTTTAGAAACCACCTAGGAATACAGAGATTAATTAAAAGTAGAAAGTGATCGGAACTAACCAGAGAGAAAAGAAGGGAAATTATTACTCACATTATATTTCATTAGTTCACGGTATGAAAAATTATAAATCAAATGAAAGTTCAATAATAATAATAATAATAATAATAATAATAATAATAATAATAATAATAATAATAATAAAGCATGTGTTTCAAGTTAATGTCAATAAACTTTGGGACATACTCCTTTATATCTTATTTAGAAAACAAGAACTTAGGCGGTATTCGGGCTTTGATAATTTATGATAAAGAGGTCGTATAAATGTTGGGGTCACTCTGATACTTAAACATTGTCATTATTATTTTCATCACTCAAGTTGAGTAGTAACTTGAACTACATTTTAATGTACAGTACTCAAAGGATAGATAAAAACTAAGTAACTCGTTACACACAAACGAGTTTAATCCTTCTACTGATATTATGTTCAGAGATTCTTATAAATAAATCTGCAAACAAGTGCTTAATCTTATTACATGTGAGTTTAAAATTCATGAATACTATCACAGACGATTATTCTGTCCACTGATCATTACTATTTTACTAAACATAGTGTCATTTATTGACCTTGAAAAGCTCCATTAAGTAGCTCAAGCATTTTGTGGACAACGATAACATGACCAACACGTTTTTTTCGAAATTAGTGCTTGCTTGATACGGTATTATTTTAAGAACTTTGAAAACGAATTTTGTGATCTTAGGGATGTAATGTCTACACAAAATAGCTTTTAGTAATAACAACTCTCAAGCATAGTACTGAAAAACTTACCTGCAGATAATAATACATGTTCAGCTGTTGGGTGCCAGACAACCAAACCAACGCGGCGCTGGTGACATACCAAATCTGCTACGGGTGTAGTCAGATTCGTTTTGGGTAACAGTCCACCTTCTGGGATTTGCCAAACTTTCACAGTACAGTCCTCGGAACCACTGGCAATAAGATCATCATTGTGTGGGCACCATTGTATATCTAATACACTTCCCGTATGTCCAGCAACAAGAGGAGCATCACGTTCTACCCGACCAACCTGTACAAGTGAATATTTACATAAATCAGCATCAGTCAAATCAAAAAAGCTATAGCTAATCTGTAACGAGGAAGAGCAGCTAATCCGAATGGATTGACTCCAGAAGTCTTTGAGGATAGTGGTCCAGTTTCAGCGACTAGGCTGACTAATATTTTATCTAGATTTTGGGAGTTGGACATAATACCACCTGACTAGTCGCAATAACTGATTGCCGCAATAAGTAAGAAAGGGTCAAAATCATCCTGTGATATTCATAGAGGGATTAGTTTGACTAATATAGCATCAAAAATACTAGCCTCAATAATTATCGGGCGCGTAACGAAGACTCGTGAACTGCAAACACGAGAATATCGGGCTGGCTTCAGACCTGGTTATGGCTGCATTGACCACATATTCACCATTCGTCAGGTTCTAGAACACAGGCATGCTTGTTGGCGTCCGACAATGGTGGTCTTTTGGACTTGAAAGCAGCATTTGACTCCGTAGATCGTGAGGTTCTGTGGCAGTGTCTATCATTGAATGGCGTAACTCAGAAGTACATAAACCTTGTAAAGGCTCTTTACTCGAACACTACTCGTCGAGTCAGAGCTTATGGCGAACTGTCACCTGATTTTGCAAACTCAAGTGGTGTCCGTCAAGGCTATCCACTTTCCCCATTTTTGTTTAACTTCATCATAGATCTACTGATGGAAATAACTTTCTCGTCGACTGAGTTCTCGGGTATTGATCTCCATCCAGGAGGTCCACTTATCGACTTAGAATATGCACATGATATAGTCCTATTTGGTGAAGACGCTGACAAAATGCAGAGTCTTTTGGTAGCACTAAGCAACAATGCCAGAATGTTTGGAATGCGCTTCTACCCCTCTAAATGCAAGTTGTTGCTTCAGGACTGGTCTGCGTCAAGTGAGGTTAGACGCAGGGCATTAGGGAATGACGGTAAATCAGTTGATGACGTTGTGAATTTTCATCGACTGAGATAGTTGGGCCACGTGTTACGTATGTCTGAACACCGATTACCACACCCGATCGAAGCTGCTACCTTGACGCGGTGGTCGGGCTTGCCTATCGTGATGACCCAACCGAGCTATATTGGCTGGAACATATGTTCCTGTAGGTTCTACCATGCCAGGCAGGTCGATTGGAGAACGGTAAGACTAAAAGCAGCAACTCAAGGTCTGAGGGCGAAGTCGTACTGCTGACTGTAGAGGGTGTGACAGCAGTAAGGTGTTTCCCTCGGACAACCAGCATGACAGCGATGCTGCCTTCCCACAAGGAGGGGTGGGGTTAGAAAAGGTCGACCCTAAAAATGTCACACCTCACCTTACCTCACGGATTTCCGTCTCCGGCGGTAAGGCCCTTTGAAGAACGGAGCTAACACGTCAAAAACCTTCCACAAAAAGGCCGTGCGCGACCGGCCTCAAGCAGTTGTCCCTTGGGCTCTGCGGTCACGCTCCCAGGTCGTCAAGACCAACACTAATCCAATTTCCTTTTCAGGTTCCTCAAGAAATACCCTTCCACGGTGTGGGCAGCCGGGAAGTGACATCAGCCCTCATACCCGTAACAGCACAAGAGACCAAGGTGGTCACATTCAAATCCTTCCTACACCTCCTAATACCTCTCTTATCTCCATGACTAACCCTCCTCACGTCTCTTTATCACCTCGCACCGCTAGGGCAAACGATTCGAGTACGTGGAACGCCATTCCTGGTCTCCTGAAACCACGCTCTAAACTACACGTAGGAGCTTTTAACGTACGAACACTTTGCCAAATAGGACAGCAGGCTTCCTTAGCTAAAACTTTAGAATCTCGCGCCATCGATGTGTGCTGCGTCTCCGAAACGCGCATACAGGATCCGAGTAGCGTCATTCATTTGACCTCACCATGCCAAAATAAAGAACCGACTCGATTTACGCTTCGTGTATCTGGAAGCCCTGATTCTGCTTCCCGTGGCCTCGCCGGCGTAGGTATAGCATTGAGTCCTAGGGCAGAACTAGCTCTCTTAGAGTGGATCCCAGTAGACAGTCGTTTGTGCGCTGTCCGACTGAACGGAACAGTAAGAATCCGGAAAGATAGGGACACTCGTCGTTGCCTCTTCGTCGTCTCTGCCTATTCTCCCACTGACTGCAGCTCAGATGATGTAAAAGATGAGTTTTACAGAAAGCTTTCGGACCTTCTCCGAAAAGCTAGCGCTCGGATGTAGTAATAGTGGCCGGTGACTTTAATGCTCAAGTAGGTAAACTAAGCGATAGGGAAAGACACCTAGGTGGATCTTATGGTGTCGTGGCTCAAAGAACAGATAATGGCGACCGTCTGTTGCAGCTATGCTCAGATAACCGCCTGTTCCTTGCAAATACTAACTTTAAGCATAAGGAAAAACATCTTTTAACATGGCGACCCCCTAATTCGTCCCAACGTTGGACCCAAATAGATCACATCGCTATCAGCCACCGATGGAGGGGCTCGATAGAAGACTGTCGCTCATTCTGGAGCACATGCCTAGATTCAGATCATGCTCTAGTGCGAGCGCGTATTTGCTTGCGTCTTACTGGACGTAGGAAAGACGCTGCAAGGAAACCTCTTAGGGCCTACTTAATGATAGTCAAGCTAAGAGTATATTTCAGGAACAACTAGGAAAACAGTTAGGCAGCCATGTATGTGATGCCCACCCCGATGCAGCATGGAATGATATCCGAAAAGCTGTGGAAACAGCAGTGATATCTGCTAGTAAGGTAAACCAGAAGGTTAGGGAGCAACACTGGATCTCAGCAGCATCTATCGCACTGATAGATGCTCGGAAACTCATTCCACCTGGCTCTGAACATAATGAAGAGCGGAGTCAGCTTAAGCGCAAGCTGACAAGAAGTCTACGCAATGATCGCGAACAGTGGTGGGTAGCGAAAGCAAGAGAGATGGAAAAGGCAGCGGCAATAGGTAATAGCAGACAATTGTTCAGACTCGTTAAGGAAACCGGAATTAGGAACCCGACCGTTAGCGAAACAATCTCAGAGAAAGATGGACATATTATTCATTCTCAATCCAGGAGATTGGATCGATGGGCAGAACACTTTAGGGATCAGTTCAACTGGCCTTCAGCCACACTTCGGTTTCCCACGATCTCCAGTCAACCTGAATGGCAAGTTAATGTAGGTCCTCCGTCCCTTTACGAAGTTGAAAAAGCCATAGGAAATCTGAAACGAGGGAGAGCAGCAGGCCCTGACAGGTTTACTCCTGAGATTTTTAAGGATGGTGGTCCAGTATTAGCAATGAGATTAACTGAGGTCTTAGGTAGAATTTGGGAACTGGACGTAATCCCATCTGACTGGTCTCAATCACTGATTGTGCCAGTCTATAAGAAAGGACAAAAGTCCTCTTGTGACAATCACAGAGGAATCAGTTTGACTAATATAGTGTCTAAAATATTAGCTTCAATAATACTTCGACGCCTAACAAAGCTCGTGAAGAGCAGACTAGAGAAAACCAGGCTGGTTTTCGACCTGGACGTGGTTGTATAGATCAGATATTCACACTACGTCAGGTTCTAGAACACAGACACACATTCAGACGCCCCACAATGGTAGTATTTCTCGACCTTAAGGCGGCATTCGACTCTGTTGATCGTGAGGTTCTATGGCAGTGTTTGTCACTGAAAGGAGTACCAAAGAAGTACATTAACCTTATAAAGGCTCTCTACTCGAACACAACTGGTAGAGTGAGAGCTTATGGCGAACTGTCATCAGAATTGATTACCTCAAGTGGTGTTCGTCAGGGCTGTCCACTCTCCCCATTCTTGTTCAACTTTGTCGTCGACGTACTTTTAGAGATAACACTCTCCTCATCTAAATTTCCAGGGGTTGAACTTCTACCGGGAGGTTCACTTGTTGACTTAGAATATGCTGATGACATAGTTTTATTTGGTGAAGACGCTGACAAAATGCAGAGTCTTCTGACCACTCTAAGCAACAATGCAAGCATGTTCGGGATGCGATTCTCTCCCTCGAAATGCAAAATGTTGCTTCAGGATTGGGTTACATCGACACCCGAACTAGTGATAGGGAGTGAAGTAGTTGAGTGTGTCGACCGCTTCACTTATCTTGGAAGTCTCATCAGCCCTTGTGGTTGGTGTGTGACGAAATCTCAGCACGGATACAGAAGGCTCGACTAGCTTTTGCCAACTTGCGTCATTTATGGCGTAGGCGAGATATCCGTCTATCAACCAAAGGACGTGTTTACTGCGCAGCAGTTCGTTCCGTCCTACTTTATGGCAGTGAAACATGGCCGGTAAGAGTAGAGGATATCCGTAGGTTACTAGTATTTGATCATAGGTGTCTTCGAAACATTGCTCGTATATCATGGGACCATCGAGTAAGTAATGCAGTTGTTAGGAAACGGGTACTAGGTAAGGATGGCAAATCAATTGATGAAGTAGTGAAACTTCATCAGTTGAGATGGCTGGGACACGTGTTACGTATGCCCAACGACCGACTGCCTCGACGTGCTATGTTCAGTGGTATAGGAGTAGGTTGGAAGAAAGCTAGGGGCGGCCAAACCAAAACATGGCACAAGTCCATGAAGTCACTGACAAGTGGACTGAGTCATGTTGGTAGGTGTAGACTACCTGGTTGGGGACCGCGAGATGATAGCAACCGATGGTTAGAGACCCTGAATGACATGGCTCAAAATCGTTTGCAATGGCGCAGGTGCATCCACTCTTTGTGTTCTCCCAAATTCTAATCTTCTGAATCCTTCATGTCCCTTTTTTCCTCTTTCCAAATTTATTTCACTGGATTATACTCTTTAAATAACATCTCCAAACCCTAATCTTCCCGATTACTGCTTATACTCTTATTACCTCTACCACTACGGGATTTGAATCGACCACTGCATCTCTGTGCTAATGTGGTGTGGCAACTCGAACTGATGTACGTACGTACGAAGTTCTACGTTGTTACTGAGTGACGGCGTATAATATATAAAAAAAATATTGCACATAAGGAAATGATATAGGGAGAAAGAATTAGTTCATACAAAAAAGGTATAAAGTAATTTTAGCCTTACGGTTTAAGGGAAGATAAAGAGTGTTTACATCTACGCCATTGGTGAATATGTGGTCGATGTAGCCACAACCAGGTTTGAAGCCAGCTTGGTTTTCTTGTGTTTGAAAGTTCACGAGTCTTTGTTACGCACCCGATAATTATTAAAGCTAGTATTTTAAATGCTATTTTATTCGGGTCGCCAGATAAACGGAGGGTGTATCTTATCGGCTCCCCGTTTTGGCTAGGTGAAGTCAAGTGAATGACCACATTAGGATCCTGTATGTGTGTTTCAGAGACACAGAATACATCAATGGTACAAAATTCTAGGGTCTTAGCCAAGGCGGCCTGCTGGCCGATTTGACATAGGGTACGTACGTTGAAGGCTCCAACGTGTAGTATGGAGCGAGGTCTCAATAAACCTGAAACAGCGTTTCGCGCATTAGAATCGTTGACTGTGGTGACACTTGAGGAGGGAGTTTAGAGTTGATAGTCGAGGTAGGAGGAGTAATAGGGAATCAAGAGGTGAGTTAATTATGAATACAGTGGTCTCGAGTGTTGTGAGAATTATGAGGGTGGTTACCGATTCCCAGTTGCCCACACCGCGGAAGTATTTATCTAGAGGTAGCTGAAAAGGAAATTGGGTTAGAGTTGGTTTTAGTGACCTGAGAGTGTGACCACAGTGCCAAAGGGACAACTGCTTGAGGTCAGTCACACACGACCTTACTGATCAAGTTTCGTGCTAGATCCGTACTTGTTGGGACCTTACCGCCGGGGACGGGAACCCGTGGGATAAGGAGTGTGTTTTCAGTGTCGACCATTTTCAATCCCATCCTTCTTTTGTGGGGAGGCAGCATTACTGTCATGCTGGTTTTTTAGGAATATATCTTACTGTCGTCACAACTCTGTATAGTCAACAGTACGACTTCGCCCTCGAACCTTGGGTTTGTTGCTTTTAGTCTTACCGTTCTTCAACCGACCTGCCTGGCATGGTAGGACCTTGAAGAACGATTGTTACAGCCAGTATATCCCGACTAGTTCATCACGATAGGCAAGCCCGACCACCACTTCAAGATAGCAGCAACAGTTGGGAATTACGGCTATTACGAAACAAAATAAAATGAGCATGATTTCTTTTAACCAAACTAATCTGAAGTTAGTAAGAGTCACAAGGATAGTACCAGCCCAAATAACTAAGAACACTTATAATCCGCATAAATTTGAGAAAAACTGTACCAGACGATGAGCCACGTCTGATATGACTAAAAATTTGCGATGAATTTTCTAACCTTGGTAGGTGAGAAGATCAACTTTCTAATTAAAATTAATTTCTGAACTATAAAACTTTTGCTTCAAGGTATAAACCGTTTAGAATTCATCAAAATATATTTTTGACCAAAGTATTTAAAATTAGTTGAGAAAGCAGGAGTATTAACAAGATGTGCCAAAATTCATCTACATATGATTATCAGTGTAAAGGAAATTACCTTTTCAATAGGTAAAACAAGAAATGATCCACCCCCCGCAGCTTCGGTAATAATCGCAAGGTATTTAGGGTTCACAGCACAAAAACGGGCATCCCAACTACTTTTTGTTATTCGAATGTCTTCATAACAGGATTCTTTCTTGCATGGTTTCCCGAAGACATGTTTAAATTTACTCCGGCGCACGAACATCTGGAAATTGTAAAATAAGAAACGAGGCCAAAGATAAAATATTGATTTTACAATGGTTTATTACACTCAAAAATATTGTAATTGATAACTATCGAAGTCATTTTACTGACATAAAGTTATTTAGACTCGTATACTAACCATTTTTGTGAACTTTAAGAACAACGATCTACACAGTTTGTAGGCACATATATAGTGATGAGCACAAAGTAAATCTAACACAAATATATATATATATATATATATATATATATATATATATATCTGTTTACTAGATTGTACATAGCATTCTCTAAATTTTCATACTATTAGGTTACTCAAACCCCGTCAGTAGAGATTTTTCAACCACACGACCAACTGTTTAGAAAATGAGTGTCAACTCGATAAGGTACAACTCTGATAAAAATAAAAAGAACAGCATCAAGTTGTTAATTCAGACTGAATCGCCAAATTAAAGACTTTTAGAGTTGTAAAGATCACACAACTCAGTGGTTTGGGATCTTATCAGATAGTTTGTAAGATATTAATCATTCCATCTCATGTGATTAAAACTCTTTAGATTTGTTAATAATAATCCGGATGATAGTCTAAAATTCTAAATTTAATTGTTGCTTGACTGTGGTCGCTATGTTGACATAAAAACGCGAAATATAACTCAAATGTTTTTCAGGTTAGAACATAACCCCTAGAAGTTACAGTAGAAGAATCAGTACCATGCGATGATCCTATGGATATAGGTAAGTGAATCAATTAAATATGTAACTTTGTTTCTACATGTGTTTCTAAGCTACGTAAAATCATTTTTTACAATCCATAAATACTCTATAGTTGAAAGTCTCGCCTGTTTTTTGAATGCCCAGGTACGGCCGCGGGTGGAGAGAGTCAGCTCTCCCTCACAAAATACTCTCACATCGCCACGTGCATACAACAACTGTCAGGGTAGTCCTACTCACTGCTTTTTCGTGGCAGGGGTGTTGTTTACGGAATTGAGAGGACGAAAATCGAGGGTCCGGTGCTTTAACGGGGTTGATTGACACAGAGGATTCACCTAGGGGAGTTGGGAGAGAGTCAGCTCTCCACCTTAGGTAAGGACCGAGAAGCCTAGTGGTCGGAGCATGTCAATGAGTTGGAAGCAACAGCTGTATCTGGTAACCGCCGAAAGCTCTTTCAACTCATCCGAGCCACTGGCAACAAGAATTCTGGTATGATCGAAATAATCTGTGAAGATGACAGGACGCCAATCACTAACATCTGCCAACGTCTTGGACTATGGGCAGTGTTTTTCGAGTAGCAGTTTAACAAGTCTGCTGCCTCAGAGACATCAATAAGACTATCCTATCCCCCATGGCAGTTGACGACTGATCTACCTAACGAGGCAGAGGTCACGAATCACCAGGTCCAAACGATTTACATTTGTCCCTTCCTCAAGATGGTGGTGACCTTTTGGTTAAGGAACTCGTTGAGTTGTTTATAACATCATGAAATGAATCCTTAGTTGTTCCTATCTTTCAAAAGGCGTACGCCACATATCCAACAACTATCAGGCGATAAATCTACTTACGATTGCGTCTAAATTATTGGCTTCCGTCATACTTTCCGGTTTCTTCAAAACCCGGGAAAGATTGGTTCGCGAAGATCAGGCTGATTTTTTGTAGGCCAACAATCGTTGTGCTTCCTGACATGACGGCTTCCCTCTATTTTTTAGACAGGACAGTGCTCTGAAATTTTCTATTGAAGGGTGTCTGAGAAGTTCATTAACATCTTAAAAGCCCTACATACAAACGTTTCAGATAGAGTAAGGGCGTACAACCACCTCTCTTCAATTGTCGCGTTTGAACAGTGGGATTAAGCAGGGTTGCACAATGGAGAGTTAGTAGAGTGGCCAATGAAGACTTGTTGATCACATGTCAGATACTGGTAATTAACTACTACAACTTTGAGCAGACTATAGCCTGTTTCTTGTTTGCACAAACTATCGTCACAATCATATCCGATGTACTACCTGGAGTCCTCTCTCTACATATCATGCCTAAGTTAAAATTGATCGCATTGCAATTTAGCCACTGCTGGCGTAGTTGTGTACAAGAATTCCGTTTCTCTTGCGATGCTTATCCGGACTACTATCATGCCCTTGATTGTGATAATCTTATCTTACTTTTTACAGTGGCCGCAAAATTCGCCCTAAATGGATTGATGCGGGGAAATTGATTGCAGTTTCTGTTGCAACTAAATATCAAACCGAACAAGGTTCAAAGTTAGCTGTCAACCCAAAGAAAAGTAAAGATGAGCATTGGTTGCAATTGGTTGAAGCCATGGAAATGACGCGTAAGGTCGCTTGTAGCTTCCGTCATAAATCACAGGTTACTAAAAGTCCTGGAAACATTGACCCACGAGGATCAATATGGTTTTAGTTCTGGCCAAGGACGTATTGGTTTACCACCGCCATACTTATTTCAGGAAACAAACGTGTTTTTTGACATCAGGGCCGCCTTCGATTTATTGGACGACTGTACTCAAAGATTATCTGTTGAAGAAGGGTGTACCTGAAAAGTTTATTAACATCTAAAAAGCCCTATATGCAAAACAATCAAGTAGAATGAGGGCATACAACCACCCCATTCCATTGTTCCATTCAAGCAGTGAGGTTACACAGGGTTGACCGATCTCACCATTCCTCCTCAACTTTGCTATCGATGGCGTTCTGGAAACAGCTCTGATGGATGTGGGTAGTGGCGGTGTGGATCTGTTCGTTATTGTTCCAATTTTTCTTATATGCACTTTGCATTCTCTATCTCTTCGTATTCTTACTGTTATTATGTGGCGTATGTGTACGTAATTACCTTTTGTACCAATATTTGTGTTCAAACAAATGCCCCCAAAAGAGGCCGACAGTAGGGACAGTCAGCTCTCCCTCACAAAATACTCTCACATCGCCACGTGCATATAGCTACTGTCAGGGAAGTTCTACTCACTGCCTTCTCGTGGCAGGGGTGTTGTTTACGAAATTGAGAGGACGAAAAGCGAATTTCCGGCGCTTTAACCGGGCCGGTGAACACGGTGAGTCCATTTAGGGGAGTTAGAGAACCGTGATTACAAACCAATGGTACACATGGACTCCAGTATCCTGGAGGAACAAACGGCGCATGAACCAATCGTTGGTCGCCGGCTATTATTATAAATAATAATAATAATAATAATAATACAGCCCTAACATATATCAAATGATATTTGTGTGGCGCACATGTATTTGGTGCCTCATTGTACCAATATCTATGTGTTAAAATAAATAAAATCCTTATGCCAATGTTCATGTGTTCAAACAATAGTAAAATAAAATGTTTTATTACAAAATATTAACGGATCAACACTCTTTCTTAACAAACCATTCCACGGAACAACCTTGTCTGAAAAATCAAAATTAGACATAATTTCAAAAACGGTGATTTTTTCACAAAAACATGATGTTCAAGCATCTGGTGGTATGAAAACTTGATCAATGAATCTACTTTTCAAAAACACAAGGCCTCATTTTCCAAGTCAATTTCTCAAGCTTTATAGACGATCTTTTCAGTATGAGGATAAACAATATTTTAGGACTGATAACATTTCATAGCGATGATTGTAGTATATATCAATCAGGTCGTTTCCGAAGACAAGAACAACAACAGATTCTTTAGTGTGATGGAATACTTGAAGTATATCATATTTCTTTAATAACACGGCCTATTATTACTAGTAGTTTAGATAAACAAGAACACCTAGGAGTTGTTGAATGTAGTTGCTGCTTCATCTTATTGTGTCCTGACCTCCGGGTTTAAAGGCACTTTATGAAAAACCTGACATAAAAGACACAACTGTGCCTACAGCCAAGCCAGACAGATTGATAAAAATCAAGAGGTTACGAGAAGTTCAAAGTAACCCAGTATTTATAAATGGAGTGGAGCTTGAAGTTGTATGAAATATGAGTAGTTACTTTTATGAAGTCCAATAAGACTCGCATTTCTTTGTTAGTGTCCCAATAGCAATATACGCCCGATCGAAGCTGCTACCTTGACGCGGTGGTCGGGCTTGCCTATCGTGATGACCCAACCGAGCTATATTGGCTGGAACATATGTTCCTGTAGGTTCTACCATGCCAGGCAGGTCGATTGGAGAACGGTAAGACTAAAAGCAGCAACTCAAGGTCTGAGGGCGAAGTCGTACTGCTGACTGTAGAGGGTGTGACAGCAGTAAGGTGTTTCCCTCGGACAACCAGCATGACAGCGATGCTGCCTTCCCACAAGGAGGGGTGGGGTTAGAAAAGGTCGACCCTAAAAATGTCACACCTCACCTTACCTCACGGATTTCCGTCTCCGGCGGTAAGGCCCTTTGAAGAACGGAGCTAACACGTCAAAAACCTTCCACAAAAAGGCCGTGCGCGACCGGCCTCAAGCAGTTGTCCCTTGGGCTCTGCGGTCACGCTCCCAGGTCGTCAAGACCAACACTAATCCAATTTCCTTTTCAGGTTCCTCAAGAAATACCCTTCCACGGTGTGGGCAGCCGGGAAGTGACATCAGCCCTCATACCCGTAACAGCACAAGAGACCAAGGTGGTCACATTCAAATCCTTCCTACACCTCCTAATACCTCTCTTATCTCCATGACTAACCCTCCTCACGTCTCTTTATCACCTCGCACCGCTAGGGCAAACGATTCGAGTACGTGGAACGCCATTCCTGGTCTCCTGAAACCACGCTCTAAACTACACGTAGGAGCTTTTAACGTACGAACACTTTGCCAAATAGGACAGCAGGCTTCCTTAGCTAAAACTTTAGAATCTCGCGCCATCGATGTGTGCTGCGTCTCCGAAACGCGCATACAGGATCCGAGTAGCGTCATTCATTTGACCTCACCATGCCAAAATAAAGAACCGACTCGATTTACGCTTCGTGTATCTGGAAGCCCTGATTCTGCTTCCCGTGGCCTCGCCGGCGTAGGTATAGCATTGAGTCCTAGGGCAGAACT